GATGTCACTGCAATTGACTCATTAAAAAATAGAACACTAACAGCTATTAAAGTATATTTGTATTAGAAAATCTCTCCCACTTTCATAAAGGACACTAGGTCCAGTCTGACAGATTTTTCACACCATCAAAGAGATACCTATTTTATACTAACTTTAATTGTCTGAAAAAAGAGGTAGAAGAAGCCAATCTTTCCTAGTGAGTTGAGTAAAGCCTTTATATCCAAACTAGATGATGAGAATTCAGGGAAAAATTATAGACCAAACTCAGAAAGCAAATTATAAATAAATTACCAGAAAATTAAAATTATCTATGAACACGAAAGTTAAGAAATATAAGTATAATTCAACATGAGAAAATTTATTAATATATTTCAACATTAACAATCAAAGGAGAAAGATCACAATAATTAGCTTAATAGGTAAAGGGGAAAACCAGGTATAACTTAGCCATCAATTTGTCATAAAAACTTTTGGCTCCTGCTATAGAAGAGGACTTTAGTGACTTGAGAAAAATAGCTATTACAGACTTACAATATAGCATCAAACCTCACGGTAACACTTTGGAAATTATCCTCTTAGAGAGAGAAACCAGAAAAGGGTACCACTGACTGCTCTGTGGCAATACTGGAAATCCTAGCCGTGCATTAAGAAAGGAAACAAATAAAAAAGAAGCACATAAGAGACAAGTCTTGAGTCTCATTGGAAAGAAAGAGGTGGAGGGGAGGTCGGGGGAAAGGAGAGAAGTTGACCAGAAGCTGGCAGAGGGAGTGAAGAGAAATTGAGAATGCACAAGGCAGCTGAGCAGAGCTGCTCCCCAGCCCCACCACCGACTCCCAGGCCTCCCGAGTTCTAGTCTCTGGTCTCTGCCACCAGTTAACAATTTTCGCAGGGTGTCTCCATTTAAAATGGTGTATTACTCCTTTGATGAAGATCTGGAAGAGCTTTGTCCCGTATGTGGAGATAAAGTGTCTGGGAACCATTATGGGCTCCTCACCCGTGAGAGCTGCAAGAGATTTTTTAAGGTAACAGTCCAAAATAATAAAAGGTACACATGTATAGAAAAGCAGAACTGCCAAATTGACAAAACACAGAGAAAGCACTGTCCTTACTGTCATTTTCAAAATGTCTAAGTATTGGAATGAAGCTAGAAGCTGTAAGGACCAAATGCATGGAGGAAGGAGTAAGTTTGGGCCAATGTCCAAGAGAGACAGGGCCCTGAAGCAACAGAAAAAAGCCCTCATCTGAGCCAATGGACTTTAGCTAGAAGCCATGTCTCAGGTGATCCAAGCGATTACCTCTGACCTGATCATTTCCTCTGCAATTCAAAACATCCATTCTGTCTCCAAAGGCCTACCTCTGAACCATGCTGTCTCGCCTCCTACAGACCAGACAGAACTTCCTTCAGAACATCCCCCATTAGCATGGCAATGCCGTCTCATGGCAGCCTGCAAAGTTACCAAACATATGGCCACTTTCCTAGCTGGGCCATCAAGTCTGAGTACCCAGATCCCTATACCAGCTCACCCTTGTCCATAATGGGCTATTTGTATATGGACAGTTCCCAGACAAGCTCTTCAGCAAGCATCCCACATCTGATACTGGAACTCTTGAAGTGTGAGCCAGATGAGCCTCAAGTCCAGGCTAAAATCATGGCCTATTTGTAGCAACAGCAGGTTAACCAAAGCAAGCATGAAGCTGAGCGCCATTGGGCTTATGTGCAAAATGGCAGATCAAACTCATTCTCCATCGTTGAGCGGGCCAGGAGTAGTCTCTTCTTCAGAGAACTTGAGGTTGATAACCAAATGAAGCTGCTTCAGAACTGCTGGAGTGAGCTCTTAATCCTCGACCGCATTTATGGACAAGTGGTACATGGGAAGGAAGGACCCATCTTCCTGGTTACTGGGCAACAAGTGGACTATTCTATGATAGCATCACAAGCTGGGGCCACCCTCAACAACCTCGTAAGTCATGTACAGGAGTTAGTGGCAAAACTTCGTTCTCTCCGGTGTGATCAATGAGAGTCTGTATGTCTGAAATTCTTGGTGCTCTTTAGTTTAGATGTCAGAAACCTTGAAAACTTCCAGCTGGTAGAAGGTGTCCGGGAACAAGTTAATGTGGCCCTGCTGGATGACACAACATGCAACTATGTGCAGCAGACAGAAATTTGGACAGCTACTTCTTGGACTACCCGAAATCCGGGCCATCAGCATGCAGGCTGAAGAATACCTCTACTACAAGCACCTGAATGGGAATGTGCCCTGTAATAACCTTCTCATTGAAATGTTGCATGCAAAAAGAGCATAAGTTAGTTACAAACCCTAGGAGCTCTGCTTTCAAAACAAAGAGACTGGGGGGAGTGGGGAAGGGGAAGAAGAACAGGAAGAAAAAAGTACTCTGAACTGCTCCAAGCGACATTAATTAAAAACTTGGTTTAAAGACACTGAATTTCAAAAGGCATAATAATCAAATACTTAACAGCAAATAAATGACGTATCAGGGTATTTTTGTATTGCAAACTGTGAATCAAAGGCTTCATATCCCCAGAGGATTCCATATAAAAGACATTGAAATGGAATGGATTGAACTCACTGATGGATACCAATATGGTCAGAATAAAAATGGACAGAACAATTCTTGTATATTTAAACTGATCTCCGCTATGAAGAAATTTAGGAACGAATCTTATTAATAAGGCTTATCCAGAAGGGGATTTGAGCTTACCGGATTCCTCCACGGTAAAGCTGAACTGAAACAATTCTCAAGAATGCATCAGCTGAACCTACAATAGCCCCTCTGTCTTCCTTTGAAGGCCCCAGCACCTCTGCCCTGTGGTCACTGAATCTGTACCTAGGACCCGTGTTTAGCCACACCCAGTAGTAGCTCCACCAAATCATGAGCAGCTTAATGTTGAATGTCTGTGTCTTAGACTTGCAAACAGCTAATAAGAAATTCTATTAATGTGTTAGCTTGCCATTTTAAATATGTTCTGAGGTTTGTTTTGTTGCATGTTCATGATGTTAAGAAAATGCAGGCAGTATCCCTCTTCTATCTTATATAAGTGTTAACTAATATTAAGGGAAATGACTACAAACGTTTAAAGCAAATGTTTCATAGCTAAAGCAACTTAGACCTTATTTCTGCTACTGTTGCTGAAATGTGGCTTTGCCATTGTTGGATTTCATAAAATAATTTCGGCAGGAAGTCTTGTTAGGATACATCAGTCTTTTTCATCCTCCAGGTTTGTAGTTCATTTAAAAATAAAACATTAAACATATTTGGCTAGGATGTCAAACAGTCACAGTTCTAAGTAGTTGGAAACAAAAGTGATGCATGTTAACTATACAAAGAGAAAGAAAAGGATGAGGTGATGTATAGACTCAAGGTTTATTCTTAATGTAAGTGAACATCCTCAAAACTTGGGATGGAAACGGTGATTTTTACATGTAGCTGGAAAGATATTAAAGTAATTCAAATCTTCCCCAGAGGGGAAAGGAAGAGAGTGATACTGACCTTTCTAAGTCATAGACCAAAGTCTGCTGTAGAACAAATATTGGAGAACAAAGAATCACAAATTCTCCAAACGACTATTATCAGTATTATTAACATATGATGCCACAGGTATCAAAGTCTTGCCTTGTTTCACAGTTCTAAAAGGTAGCTGTGCAGATGTGGATCAACATTTGTTTAAAATAAAGTATTAATACTTTAAAGTCAAATAAAAGATAGGGTTTACATTCTTTAGGTCCTGAGGGGTAGGGGGATCTGTGATATAACAAAATAGCAAAAACAGTTATTTCCTTAATGTTATTTTTCTGATTGGTAATTATTTTTAACAGTACTTAATTATTCTATGTCGTGAGACACTAAAATCAAAAGTGGGAATCTCATTTAGACTTTAATTTTTTTGAGATTATCAGCAGCACAATCACTTGTAGAAAATGTAAAAAATAAAAGTATCTCCTAGTCTTTTAATTTTTTCATAAATGTTTCTGGCTTTTGATAGTGTATTCATATTGTATATCATAGTTTCAACTGTACACAATTATGATGCTAAATTATTGTTTATTGGTTTCACCTTTGTATAAGATATAGCCAAGACTGAAGAAACCAAATATATATGTTTACTGTAGCATGTCTTCAAGTTAGTGGAACTTAGTTCAGGGACATAGAAGAGTCTTAATGAATTATAATCATTCACTTGATTAAATGTCTGTAAATCTTCATAATTCCTACTGTAGTTTATTTAAAATCTATTGTAAATTATGTGACTTGTAGCTTACTCTGTTTTTCAGGCAAACAACAATGTGGAATCTGACCTGGTTTTCCTTTGCAAGCATTATAAGTTGTATATCAAAGATATTAGTTATCACTTCTGTGTGTACAATGAGGATTATTTTACTACTTTTATTAATCACCTCTAATTACTCATCCACATGAAGGGTAGACATTAGCTAAGCTGGGCTTCGACTTATGCACAGTCTCAGCCACCCGTGTTACCTTCATGGCTCAAAGGACAGTGCAACATTACTGACCAGAGCTCATGCCCAAAGCATTACAGAGAACAGCAGCTTCATCGCCCTCCCCAGCTGAAAAACAACTTGGCTAGAAGACACATGGAGAGGAATGGTATCATCGACAGTTGACGAAACAGTTCCATCATGCATGTGTAACATGGGTGGAGAGAATTATGAGATTTGACTATAATTATTTGGAGGGTCTTTAACATTGCTAAAAAAACAAATATGTTGATTTTTATTTTATATTTTATTTTAAGAGGCAGGATCTTGATCTCACATGTTGGCCAGGTTGGCCTCGAACTCTGGGGCTCAAGCATTCCTCCCATCTCAGCCTTCCCAATAGCTGGGTCTACAGGTGCATGCCAGCACGCCTGGCTACATTGACTCTTAAAATCTGTGTTTTCTTATTTTAAAGATACAGTACTCCCCACTGAAATTGAACCTAAAAAATGTCACATATTGGCATGTTGTTAACCTGGTAGATCAAATCATGAGAATAGTTAGATCGGCAACACAGAGGGTGACATCCACAGTGCTGGTCACACCAATGACAGGAGCTGATAAGCTAAAATGCATCACAGCCAGCGTCTGTTCACCTAAGGTTGACAAGTAAAGCTTCTCTAATGTTGATTGTTAACCGATTTGTAACCTGACATTTACTTAGCAACTGCCTTATCAATTACAGGACTTATTGGTAAAAGCAGACTCAAATGTAAAGGTTTTTGGCTTAACTTGGTTTATTATAGTTGGTCTATGTTTGTAAACAGACAATCTGTAATGTCTGAATATTTGTATCACAGATCTGCAGCTACCTTGGACTTGAATCCATGCAATGTTTAGAGTGTGAAGTCAGTTCCTTGTTGATGTTTTCTTATTGTATCAATGAGATACATATTGTCATGTCAGTTCTTGCCAGGAATTTCTCAACAAAATGGATTTTTTTCAGTATTTCAATAAATGTTGATATGCCCAACCTGATATTTTTTAAAAGTTAAAAAACACATCTTTCCAATTATAGATGATGTGATTGTCCAAATATAAAAAAGAGACTTTTCAGACAAGCTATAAGACTCATAGGCTTCAGCAAGTTCATTAAACATAAGATCAAAAGCATAAACACAGTCAACAGTAACAGACACTTAGAATGATCACAGAAAAATGATTCCTTTCATAATAGCAACAAAAGTATAATTTACTTATATCTGTAAGTGACTCAGGAATAAATCCAATAAAAGACATGTACAACCTTCATGAAGATAATGTAAAACATAATTTTAAAAGATACAGGAGGCTCCAAATCAATGGCAAGTTGTAATGTATTCACAGCTGAAAGAATTCAATATCATAAAAATGTTAATTCTCCCAAATCATTCTTAAAAAATACCAACAGTCTTTCCATGGGACTTGAGTAGAAAATAGTAGAAAAGAGAAGTAGGTAAACTGCACAGAATGAAAAGCCTAGGAAAAGTTCCTACTGACGAGGAGGCTTGGCATATGTCAGAGGTAGCATTACAAATGGGGAGAGGGCAGGAAAGGGAGGATAAATGACAATATGATAATTGGCTATTCTATTGGAACAAAAAAGACTCCAAAATTATATCTTCTACAAAAATTAATTCTGGTGCTTTAAAAGGCTTAAGTACGAAAATCAAATTGGCAATATTTTTAGAAGACAATGCGGGATTGTCTCTATAAATTTAGAGGAGGAAATTTTTTCTAGGAAAGGTAATAAAAGAACAATTCATAAATTAAGACATTAAAAATATTAATACATAAAAGCTTTTAAAAAATATTAATACATAAAATATTTTTAAAAAATATTTTTAATATTTTAAAAATATTAATACATAAAAACTTTGATTTAACTAGACATCAAAAGCAAGGTTAAAAGAGATGCCACAGACAGGAAGAAGATATTGGTGAAGTGTGAAACTAACAGAGATAATGTGCAGAATATATAGACTCCAATAACAGAAAAGTCATCTATTTCTAGCACCAAGCAATTCATAGAAGAGGAAACTAAAATGGTCAATAAATATATAAAAATCATTCTTATTAATTATCAGGGAATTTCAAATAAAAGAATAAAATGCAATTTCACACCCATCAAATCAGCAAAAATCAAAAACATGGCAACTCCAAATGTTAGTACAAAAACAGAACAATACAAACTCATAACCTACTGATATGTGTGTAAACTAGTGTCACCATTTACCAGCATAATCTGACACTATCTAGTAAAGTTACTAGAACTTAGCAGTTCCTCTTCTGGGTATTTAGTAAACCTCTTGTATATGTACACTATGAGAAATAGCAGCTATTTATGAATCTAACAAATTGAAAATCTTCTGAAATTTCCATCAACAGCAGAATGGATATACTGCAGAATATTCATATTATATAATGGAATATACTATACAGCAGGTAAAAATCAATTCAAGCTACATATAGCAAAACACTGTAAATAAATTTCAAAAACATTTATAGGTAAAAATTAAGGACACATACATTCCACTATCATGTATATAATGCTTGAAAACATGCCAAATGATGTTACAAATTGTTTGTACGTGTGTGTGTGTGTGTGTGTGTGTGTGTGTGTGTAGTGATATAAAATATGTATGATTGACAAACTCTAAAATGAAGGCAGTGGTTACCTCTAGGGAGGGAAGACAGGAATTATATCAACTTAATCCTCACTGTCTTATGTTTATGACTCAGGCATACCAAAATCTAATAGAGCCATGTGGTGTTCAACATATAATTCTCAGTATTTCCTGAATATCTCAAATATTTCATAATAAAAAATTTCTACATTATGTCTACGAATAAAGTTATTTCATCATTTTTTGATCAACTCTAGCTTACATTTGTGTAGAATTTAATAATTGCTTTTTGTAACATACTTTTTCCCATGTGATTGTTTATTTGAAGATGGGAAGTTTTGGTTAAAGAAGCTAAACAAGTCAGGAATGTGATAAGCTGAAGATTAAAAACCAGTGACATTCGTAGACACAAACACTTGATAAATACCCCTTTTCTGATCTTAGTTTATTACCCAAATTTCCAAACTGGGAGTTCCTGCAGTTGAAAGGAATATTAATTTGGTACCTTTCATATACAAAGATGTCATGTCAAATTCAGTTAAGAGTATGCTCAATAAGCCCATGGATTTGCATGAATCCATGTATAATATCCTGTAACATTTTGCCAGCAGACCCGTTCCTAAATTTAAAAATTGATACCCACTTGTCTCTGCACTAATTAAACCCTTTCTCAATATTTTGTTACTACCATAACGGGTTAAGTGGTTTATAACGCCTCTTAAATGACCACAATATCAGTCTGCAACTAGGCAGCAAGCTTTGGGATGAAATTATTGTCACAGGGTAGAGAGGCTGCTGGAATCCAACTCATGGCCCAACTGAACTAACACACCAGAAACATTCTTGTCTCCTGCCTTAGAGAGCGTTAAGCCCCAGGTGTGGGTGTGATAAGGAATGTGTTTAGTGGTGTTTATTAAATGACATATTGTGTATGTATGCTTAAAAACATCACTAGACTGAGGCCAGGCATGCTGGCTCACACACCTATAATCCCAGCACTTTGGGAGGCTGAGGCAGGTGGATCACGAGATCAGGACTGAGACCATCCTGGGTAACACGGTGAAACCTGGTCTCTACTAAAAATACAAAACATTAGCCGGGCACAGTGGCTCAAGCCTGTAATCCCAGCACTTTGGGAGGCTGAGGCAGGTGGATCACGAGGTCAAGAGATCGAGACCATCCTGGTCAACATGGTGAAACCCCGTCTCTACTAAAAATACAAAAAGTAGCTGGGCATGGTGGTGCATGCCTGTAATCCCAGCTACTCGGGAGGCTGAGGCAGGAGAATTGCCTGAACCCAGGAGGCGGAGGTTGTGGTGAGCCGAGATCACGCCATTGCACTCCAGCATGGGTAACAAGAGCAAAACTCCGTCTCAAAAAAAAAAAAAAAAAAAAAAAAAAAAGCAAGGGAAATTCCTAAGGAAAGGTAGTTGAGAATTAGCTCAAATCTCAAAGACAAAGATGCCATATATGACCTAGAAATATAAAATTTGAATAATAGGTAACTGATGGCAGTAAGGGAAGTAGTAGAAAAGTTGGTGGCAGTGACATTAACATTTACAGATCCTTTAGTACATTGTATTTAGTAAATCAGGTTAGTCCTGGTACTTAACACACAATTCACTGATTAACTCCTTCTAACATATTAATGGCCATCAATTATATGTGAAATATAGTGTTTAGATATACATTGGTATACTATAAAATATACATTTGAAAAATGAATCTGGAAACCTTACCAAATTATATCAATTATAGCTGACAGTTTAGAAACACTATCTAAAACAATGCTAACACTTATGCCTGAAACTTCTTTTTCTCTCTTATCTAACTTCCAATTTCTTAGGTGATTTTAAAATTTCTTTTTGTGTTTAAAATAACAAGGGCAACTGAACTTCACTGTCAAGGAATATTTATTTCTTGAAATATACTTATTGAAAATACTTTTTGGGTCCAAAGCTTCAAGGGTAAAAAGAAAGATTTTAAATTATATCTAATATATTATGATTGTTCTTTCTTTAAAACCCCTTTCAAATCACCCACTGGATGTTTCTTCCCTAGAAGTCTCAGAGAATTAACAACACAATGTAATCTAGGTTTAAATTTGGGTTTCTCCTGTGGTTCAGATACTGATGTTTGAGCTTTCTTTTCCTGACAGGTCACTTAAAGAGTCACTGTTACTTTGAGGTTTTATCTATAAGATTCGTGTCTTTTGGGCTCATTAAGAACATTTCCAAAGATTGCAATGTCAACAGCACCTAATTACTGGACTGTGAGAAAGGTCTTCTTGAGTACATAAAATCTGTGGCAGTGCACAGTACACAATGGGCAGCTCAGATCCCAAATTTTATCACAAGTAAGTAGCAAACAAATTAATAATGTTACCTGTGCTCTCTTTGGATAATTACTACCGCATAAAAACTGCTTTGAAATGTTGCAGATAGTATTGTACCTCATTTTTCTATCCCCTTAGAGAAACAAGGATTTATTTGTCTCTTAAACTTTCTGTGGTGCATGCACCACTCCGCTTTCTTGTCCTGTTTAGAATTTTTAGAACTTGCAACATAACAAAAAGTTGTTTTCAATCTGCCTAGGAAGGACTTATCACCTTATATAACATTATTTTAAACTATATTTTGTATCGTCACTCTTTTCAAAATATATACTATATGTTTTGGCATTATTGCTAGATTTTATTTTTTACTTATGCCTGGTAGAAAATTATCTATTAAAGAAGCAAAGGAGGCTGGGCACAGTGGCTCATGCCACTGTGTATCTTCATGGATACTCCTGGGCTCAAGGTATCAGCTTGGGCAACATAGTGAGACCCTGTCTTTACAGAAAATAAAGAGATTAGCTTCATGGGGTGGTGTGTGCCTGTAGTTCCAGCTACTCAGGAGGCTGAGGCAGGAGGATCACTTGGGCCCAGAAGTTTGAGACTGCAGTGAGCTATGACTGGACCACTGCACTCCAGCCTGGATGACAGAGCAATACCCCATCTCAAGAAAAAAAAAGCAGTAAAGGAGAGAATAGCTGTTTTAATTTATTAGCCTACTGTTTAGGGAATCATGGCTCTCACGGATGAATTAAAATGTAGATTTGCAAGGTTTTAGCTTGGGATTGTACTATGAACAGCTCAAGAGGAGAGGTAGAGAGAGGGATTAGCTAGGCATGTCACATATATGATCTCACCTCATCCTCATAACAAACCTGTGAGGTGGGGTTGCCAAGTCTGTTTTACACAGCAGGGAGCACTGAGATGAAGGTATCAGTGAGTAAGTAGTCACTTGAGCTTGGGAGCAGTCTGTCAGCCTCAAAGCCCATGCTCTCTCTGTTATAACATGGATTTTCCCATGGTGTTTTGTTGAAAATAGGGTATTTTTCATGTTGTCATGCATGATTCTTGGGGCAGGTGAAAATAACTGAGTGGGGATTAGCACGAACCCTTAGCCCACACTGGATTTGAATCTAGCTCTTCCACTTATTTGCAATATAAATCAGCAGTTTACAAATCTTTCCGTATCCAATGGTCTTATCTGTAAAACGGGGGAAAGCAAGAGTACCTACCTCTAAGGGTTTTTGTGAACACTAAAGTAAAAATGTGAAAAGTGTTTAGAATATTATCTATGTCCACTGAATGCTTGCTATATACAATTTTACAAAGTATTTTGTGGTGTGAAAGTAGAGCCTAAGAAGCTCAATCTTTGATGCTAACACCTAGGATTCTGTAACAGAGAGGATATTATTCCATAGGATATTTTACATATTACTGTTATTATTCTATATATGTATTTAAAAAAGAAATGTATTACAACAGTAATTTTAAAGAGTTTGGTTTGGGATCTCTTACCAAATAGGTCATAGTAACCCCTTATGTTTTATGTACCTATATTAGTCCATTCTCATACTGCTATAAAGAACTACCTGAGACTGGCTAATTTATGAAGAAAAAAGAGTTAACAGACTCACAGTTTCACAGGCCTAACAGGAAGCATGGCTAGGAGGCGTCAGGAAACTTAAAATCATGACGGGAGGGGAAATAAACATGTCTTACAATGGCAATGGAGAGAGTGAAGTGCTACACACTTTAAACCATCAGGTCTCATGAGAACTCACTCACTATCATGAGAACTGCAAGGGGAAAAACAGTCGGCATAATCCAATCACCTCCCACCAGGCCCCTTCTCCAATTCAACATGAGATTTGGGCGAGGACGTAAATCCAAACCGTGTCAATATGTAATACCTCTGTAATAGGTATTTGTGAATTACTGCTTGAAAGCATTAATAATGTATTACACTTTTTCCTGGGGTCTGAAGAGGGTACTCAACCTCGTAAAGTACTTTGGGAGCTTGGAATACCTTTTTTGGTGAAGACTAACAATAATCTTGGCTAATTTGACCCTTTGATTAGCAATAATTGCACCTCAGATAAACCTTATTGGCTACAATACTGCCACTGTGCAAAGCTATTTTGGCCCTTTAAATGTCTAACATGAAAGCCATCTGCAAGGCATTCTCACTGAAGGTCGTGCTTTTTAAAGAGAAGATTCATTTACTCCCCAAGTTAGAAAATTAGTAATTCAGCTTTCTTGCTAACATTCATTTAGTTTTTTATTCAGTAAAAGTAAAAATATATATTTCTAGTAAATTTTGGATTAACTTGAACCAATTAATAAGAAACTTTTGTTAATTGGATTATTTCCCAACACTATCTTCAGAGGGAAGAACATTACATGTCAGAGCTGTTTCTGAGATTGAATAAGAAACTTCAGGGTATGGCCACAGGCATCTGCTGTGAGCATTTTATCTTACGCCTCCTCGACAGTGCTGATTAGTATTCAGAATAATGAGTCTTACAGCACGCCATAAAATTAAGGATCATAAGGCACATTTATATTCAATTTTATTAGTAAAGCAAAAAAGAGAGCTAATAAATTTTAAGAGGATTTTTGGTAGACAGAGTGGCAATAACTCTACATTTTGCATTTTCAGAGTTTGGAAAAGGGAGTGACAGTGTCTGTTTCACCAGGGCTGCCTTATGTGTCATGTGGCCATCAAAATTTGTGTTACTTCAAATGGACCTTTGCAAAGTGGTTTATTTGGCAAGGGAAAGTCAATTTTCAAGGAAAACTCCTCAACTGAATTTTTAGGAAATGGAATTCTATGGTTAATTAAGCCTCCTAATTAAAATTGCCGGCCTTAAGTGAATGAACACAGAAGCAGAAAACCAAACATCGGGTGTTCTTACTTATAAGAGCTAAACATTGGGTACGCAGGGACATAAAGATGGGAATAACAGACACCAGGTCTCCAAAAGGAGGGCGGGAGGAAGGCGAGGGCTGCAAAACCGCCTATGCCATACTATTTTCACTAATTTGGTGATGAGTTCCCTCAAAGCCCAAACCTCAGCATCCCGCGACATAACTACACAACAAATCTGCACATGTACCCCTGGAATCTAAAGTTAAAAAAATAGATTTCAAGGCAACTAAATTCATTAATCCACATGTTTACAATAAAATGTGAGTACATTAAGATGCTTTAGAAATAATTTCGGCCTGGGCAACATGGCAAAACTCCACCTCTAAAAAACACCAACCAATCAACCAACCAAACAAAAATCAGCGGGGCACAGTGGTAGGCACCTATGGACGCAGCTACTCAGGAGGCTGAAACAGCCAGGTTGCCCAGGCTGACCTAGAGCTCCTGGACTCAACTATTCCAAGCGCTGGGACTGCGGGTGTGAGGTGTAAGTAGGCCCAGCCTACTTTTCTTTTAATTATTAAGTTGGAAAAAAATAAGAATTTAACAGGAGCTTCAGGTTTGTTGAAAATTTAATTTAAAAAAAGAAATGAGGCCAGGTGCAGTGGCTCAAGCCTGTAATCCCAGCACTTTGGGAGGCCGAGGCAGGCGGATCACAAGGTCAAGAGATCGAGACCATCCTGGCCAACATGGTGAAACCCTATCTCTACTAAAAATACAAAAAAAAGTTAGCTGGGCATGGTGGCATGCACCTGTAGTCCCAGCTACCTGGGAGGCTGAGGCAGGAGAATTGCTTGAACCGAGGAGGCAAAGGTTGTAGTGAGCCAAGATCGCACCACTGCACTCCACCTTGGTGCCTGGTGACAGATCGAGACACTGTCTTAAAAAAAAAAAAAAAGAAAAGAAAGAAAAAAGAAAAAAAAGAAATGAGATTCTAATGAAGGCAGTTTCTGGTTTTGAAGTACTGTATAACTAATTTCTTTTTTTTTTTTTAACTTAAACACAGTTTCACTCTATTGCCCAGGAGGGAGTACAGTGGCATGATCTTGGCTCACTGCAGTCTTGACCTCAATGGCTCAAGCAAACCCTCAGCCTCCTGAGTAGCTGAGGCTACAGCTGCATGCCACCACGCCTGGCTAATTTTGTTTTTGGAGAGGTAGAGTCTTATATGTTGCCTAGGCTGATCTCAAACTGTTGGTTTCAAGCAATCCTCCCTCAGCCTCTCCAAGTGCTAGGATTATAGGTATGAGCTATTACACCTGGCCTAGATTGATTTTCAATTAGCAGTGATCGGTAGTCAGAAGTACATATTAGTATTCTTTTATTCAGTTTATCTGTGCAATCATTTTATAAATTGGCTGAAAAAGTCATGCATTCACCCCGAATACCAAATACCTCAGGGTAAAAAAGAAAAGCAAAATTAATCTAGACTAAGTAGCCATTCTGGTGTGAACCTCTTTTCCAACAATCAAGATTCTTACCTTTTGGTGAAAGTTGAGGGGATGCCTGATCACTGGCTACATCTGCACGCTTACTGTCTATCTGTAAATGAACCAAACATTTCATTACTTAAGTTAAATAATATCAACTCAGTAAATATTTAATAGAGAAAAATAGGCTACTTACTGAAAATGATCCACGACTTGAAGAGGCTGTACCTGTCAAGGTTGTTTTAGACTGCACATATAAGGGTTTTACTTTCTGAAAGACACAAAAGATATGTACTGTGATATCAGGCAGAAATGTTAATCAAATCAAATGGATTTTAATGTTCTCCAGCCTTTAGTTGACCAAGATATGAAAACTATGCCTGTCACTTATTTGCTCAAATATGGCTGGGAAAATCATTTTCTTTATTCCAACAGGATAGAGAGTCCTTCTTCTTCAGGCTGCTTTGAAAGAAAATTTAAGAAAACTCTTTTTCGTAGTATCTCTCCTGACTCTGCTTCCTTTTGATTGTCCCTAAAATTGAATCTTGCTACTTGCAACTGGCTGAAAGTCACAAGGTAGTCCCTACCACCTCCTAGCTACTGGTTGCTACAGCAATGGTGTCCTGATTCCCAAGTTAAAGAAGACAGTTTCCTGACATCAGTTAAGGAAAACAGTTACCTGAAATTAAAGGAAGCACATACTTCTAAAAATGATCTATTATGAGATCTACATGAAAATCTCCTTAAGCCTTTTGGCTGGAACAATGGAGTATAAGAATATATGGATTCAAGGAAATGTAGACAGAAGACTCTGGAAATGGACAGGCTGAGATGAAATGCCAAGGACTTTTGGATGTGATATGGAAAGATTACTTGGGAATAAAACACAGACATGGAACTTAAATCCAAATAAGACTTTCATTTCTTTCTTTTCTTGTCTTTTCTTTTTCTTTTTCTGTTTTTTGTTTTTGTTTTTGTTTTTGTTTTTGAGAGGAAGTCTCACACTGTTGCCTGGGCTGGAGTGCAATGGCACAATCTCGGCTCACTGCAACCTCTGCCTCCCAGGTTCAAGTGATTCTCCTGCCCCAGCCTCCTGAGTAGCTGGAATTACAGATGCCTGCCACCATGCCCAGCTAATTTTTTGTATTTTTAGTAAAGACAGTTTCACTATATTGGCCAGGCTGGTCTTGAACTCCTGACCTTGTGATCTGCCCCCTTCGGTCTCCCAAAGTGTTGGGATTACAGGTGTGAGCCACCGTGCCCTGCCTTCATTTCTTATATCCTTCAATGTTGCTGTAAGCTGATAAAAAGGCAGGGGCCAGGCACAGTGGCTTACATCTCTAATCCCAGCATTTTGAGAGGTCTCAAGGTGGAAAGGTCGGTTGAGCCCAGCAGTTTGAGACCAGCCTGGGCAACATGGCAAAACCCTGTCTCTACAAAAACTACAAAAATTAGCTAGGTATAATAGCACATGCCTGTAGTCTCAGCTACTTGGGGGGCTGCAGGGGCTGAGGTGGAAGAATGACTTGAGCCCAGGAAGTTGAGGCTGCAGTGAGCATTGAGTATGCCACTAAACTCTAGCCTGGGTGAAAGAGCAAGACCTTGTCTCAAAAACAAAAACAAACAAAGCAAATAAGCAAGCAGGAATGCTCAGGTTCAAGACTAAGAGAAGACAGAAACCAGGACTTCCACTCTGGAGCTCTCATTCACTTTGAGGGCATCTGCCAAACTTTTGGAATATGTGCATGAGTTGTCAAAGGTTCCCATAGCGTGGGAGCAGAGGACAAAACTCAGGACCCACCTAAGGTGTGGAATTTAACCAGACACTTCCACCCCACTGTAAGTCTGGGACTGAAAAGCTATAACCACAGTAAAGATCAAATACTAGCTCAAGTGAGGCTTCCCCAAGCAGTTTGAGGAAAATGCCTGTTTCTAAGTTTGACCACTAGTTGAATAACATTTTTAGAAAACCTCCTGTGAATTCCTAACCATTACTAGCCCATGCCATTTGCCAGCTGAATTCACAAGGTGGTCTGAAAAGCCAGACGCTAAAACAAATTAATTAAGTCCAGAATAATGGTGCTCATGGCAACTGAAAGAAGCACACTTAAACCTTTTATGAAAAAATTCCTGTTTAGCTGAGTCCTCAGAGAACTTTTATAAATAAGGCTCCAAGGAAAGTGAGCAGCTCATTGTCAAAAATCTGTATATACATCATGAGTAGTTGCTAGCATAGACAAAAGACAGCAGAACCAGACTTTCTTTATTATTATTATGATGCTTTAAGTTCTGGGGTACATGTGCAGGTCATGCAGGTTTGTTATATAGGTATACACATGCCGTGGTGGTTTGCTGCATCCATCCCCGCATCACCTATGTTAGATATTTCTCCTAATGTTATTCCTCTCCAATCCCCCCACCCTCAACAGACCCCAGTGTGTGATGTTCCCCTCTCTGTGTACCTGTGTTCTCATTGTTCAATATCCACTTATGAGTGAGAACATGAGGTCTTTGGTTTTCTGTTCTTTTGTCAGTTTGCTGAGAATGATGGTTTCCAGCTTCACCCATGCCACTGCAAAGGACATGAACTCATCATTTTTTATGGCTGCATGGTATTCCATGTGCCACATTTTCTTTTTCCAGTCTATCATTGATGGGCAACAAGTCTTTGCTATTGTAAACAGTGCTGCAATGAACATACGTGTGCATGTGTCTTTACGATAGAATGATTTATAATCCTTTGGGTATATACCCATTAATGGGATTGCTGGGTCAAATGGTATTTCTATTTCTACATCCTTGGGGAATTGCCACACTGTCTTCCACAATGGTTGAACTAATTCACACTCCCACCAACAGTGTAAAAGTGTTCCTATTTCTCCACATCCTCTCCAGCATCTGTTGTCTCCAGATTTTTTAATGATCACCATTCTAACTGGTGTGAGGTGGTATCTAAATGTGGATTTGATTTGCATTTCTCTAATGACCAGTGATGATGAGCATTTTTTCGTAAGTTTGTTGGCTGCATAAATGTCTTTTTGAAAAGTGTCTGTTCATATCCTTTGTCCACTTTTTGATGCAAGTAGAACCAGACTGTTTAAAATTTCAAATATAGAAATTCTCAGTTATAGAATATAAAATAAATATGTTTAACGTGTTTCAAGAAATAAAAAGTAAAAGCTTGATGATGAATCATTTGTTTGCATATTTAAGAAAGAAACAACATTTATTTCTATTTTTTAGAAAAATGATAAATATAAAATTGAAATGAAAGTCAAGTGGCCAATTTTAGCAGAAAAATCATACAACTGTGAAAAAATACTTAATAAATTGAAAGAGAGAATGAAACATATTATCAAGAATCATCTCAGAGAGACAAAGTGATGTCAAACATAAAGGCTAAGCAGTAGCAATATGAAGGATAGAGGGAAGGTATAACCTCATTTGGTTGGAGTTTTCAAAGATAAAAAAAATAGAGGAGTATGGCAAAATATATAGTTAGAAGAGGACCATGGCAAAATATAGAGTTAAGAACTGAACACTTTCCAGAACTGGTGAAACTAACTAACCTCAACTTTCAAGAATCCTGATAAATCTCAAACAGAATAAACAAAAAGAAATTCACAACTAGCCACATCATAGTGAAAATGCAGAACACTAAAGAAGGAGACCTTAAAAGCAGCCAAAGACAAGATACATTAATGATAAGAAAGTCACAGTTAAAGATACAGCAACATTCCCAATGGTAGCAATGTGTATTAGTCTGTTTTCATGTTGCTGATAAAGACCCACCAGAGACTTTACGAAGGAAAGAGGTTTAATTGGACTTATAGTTCCACATGGCTGGGAAAGCCTCACAATCATGGTGGAAGGCAAGGAGGAGCAAGTCACATCTTACGTGGCTTGCGGCACGCAAAGAGAGGAATGCTTGTGCAGGGAAATCCTGTTTTTTTAACCATCAGATCTTGTGAGACTTATTCACTATCCAGAGGACAGTACGGGAAAGATCTGTCCCCATTATTGAATTACCTCCTCCATATGGTTCCTCCCATAACACATGAGAATTCAAGATGAGATTTGGGTGGGGACATAGCCAAACCATATCACAATGGAATCTAGAAGACAGTGGAATGATATGTTTGATGTGCAAAGAGAAAGTATCATAAACCCAGAATTTTACACCTAGAGAAAACACGTTTCAATAACGGGGCAAAAATAAAGACATTTTCTGTCAAGCGATAACTGAAAGTGAAGGCCTCCAGCAGATCCCCACTAAAGAGCATTCTAACAAATGTACTTCATGTAGAAAGAAAGTGACCCCAGATGGAAGTTCTGAGATGCAAGAAAGCATTGAAAATAAAGTGGTAAATACATAAGTAAACCTAAGCAAATATTAATCAAATATGCCAATAATAATAATGTGCTATGAAGATTAAAGAAACAAGGTAGAGTTAAAATAAATGACAATAGCATTATGCACTGACAGAGGGTGGTATTTGAAATTTACTCACCGAAATAACTTTTATTGTATACTACTATAAACACATAGAGGTAATTTAAACTTCCCTGATAGAAACAAGAGTTTAGGGGGGAAAAAAAAAAAAAGAAAACAGAATGCGAAAAAAAATTAACGAATTCAAAAAATGCAAATAAGGAGAAAAACACATAGAAAATAAAGACAAATATAAAACATAAAATAACAAGGTATAATTAAAGTCAAATGTATTTGTGATTACAATAAAGTTAAATGGACTAAACGTCCCAGTTAAAAGAAAAAGACTGTCCAACTAGAATAAGAACAAAGTTTAAAATAAGCTGTATGCTGTTAAAAAGAGTCACATCCAAAGCAGAAGCATACAAAAAGCTGAAAGTCATAGAATAGACAAAGATATGCCAAGAAAATAATAACCTATAGAAAGTACAGGTAGCTCTAGCAATATAAAGCCAAAATAGACTTTAAGGCAAAAACCACTTGTAAAGTTTGTCATTACATAATGGTAAAGTGTTCAATTTACCAGGAAGATACAATTATAAAATAGTAAGTATCTAATAATACAGCCTAAAATTACATAAAGCAAAAATTGACTACAAGCTACCTAGAGTAATATGCAAATCATCTAAGTATAATTGCATAAAAATACAAGGTACCTAAGATTACATCTAAAAAAATATTTTCAAGACTTCTATAGAGTGAGTTGAAAACTCTATTGAAATAATACCTAAACAAAATACATAACATATTTACAGATTAGAAGACTCAATGCCATAAGG